ATCTCAATGAGGCAGATGTTTCCCAGTGGTTAAGGATATTATGGGAAGGAAACAAAGCTGGGGTAAATCCATCATCCCATGTGCTTAATGTGGCTTGCATAGCAGGGACAGTACCAGTCATACATGTTATCCCCGAGGCAGGATAGAAATTGTTAACATGGATGGTCAACATTTTGCTGGTATGGTCTTCAGCTGAGCTAGGGAGGACATGAAAACTAATGTCTTAGTAAGACCACACCTGGAATATTGCATCCAGTTTTGGTTGCCACAATATAAACAAGATGTTGAGATTCTAAAAAAAAAGTGCAGAGAAGAGCAACAAAGATGATTAGGGGACTGGAGACTAAAACACATGAAGAATGGTTGCAGGAATTGGGTATGTCTAGTTTAATGAAAAGGAGGACTAGGGATAGCAGTCTTCCAATATCTATGGGGTTGCCATATAGAAAAGAGGAGTCAACTATTGTCCAAAGCACCAGAAGGCAAGTCAAGTAGCAATAGATGGAAACTAATCAAGGAAAGAACCTATCTAAAACTAAGGAGACATTTCCTGATAAAACAATTAATCAGTGAAATTACTTGCCTCCAGAAGTTGTGGATGCTCCAACACGCGATATTTTTAAGAAGAGATAAGACAACCATTTATCTGAAATGGTATAGAGTTGCTTGAGCAGGGGATTAAAAAAACCTCCAGTGCTAGAGCACCCACAACTTCTATGGTGGCAAGTCATTCCAGTCCTGTAATCATCTTCGTTGCTCTTCTCTGCACCCTTTCTAGAGTCTCAACATCATTTTTATGCAGTATTATGGCCACCAAAACTGAATGCATAAAGTTGATCAACTTCAGACGCAAGGAATCAAAAGAACTTTGTGAATAGGCCTAAGCAGTTTCTTCATTGTTGATGCCCTATATTACAGGACTCTCACCAGACTGGCTGCATTCCCTAAAGAACCAACAGATAAGGGTTCCTTATGATGTTTCCTCCTCTAGAGTGCCTCCATGCTGGTATACCTCTTTCTTTCCCCCCTCCTTTAGCTTAGGGGTCTCCAACCTTGGCAACTTTAAGACTTGTGGACTTCAACTTCCAGAGTTCCTCAGCCAGCAAAGCTACAGCAAAGCTGGCTGAGGAACTCTGGGCCTTGAAGTCCACAAGTCTTAAAGTTGCCAAGGTTGGAGACCCCTGCATTAGTTGATGATTCCACCACAATAGAGGGCAGTTGCCAGTGAATAGAAAGGAGGGATAGCCCTATTAATAGCAGCTAGACAGATCCCAATTCATGATTACAGAAGCATCCACACAGTTGGCCAAAGAAGAAGAAGCAGAAAAAAAAGTAGTTACTTGCCACAATTGGAAAAAAGAAAGATGAGGTTTTAGACAATCATACTTCCATTCTTTTTATTTTCAAACCCCAAGTTCAAGGATGATTGTCCAGCAGAAAAGATTTATAGTCCAGTTTTTTAGATTATAATGCACTTTTCCCAATCTATGGGAGAACTCTTCCTCTGAGGTAGTACTTCCAGAAAGGCTATTCTCCTGGACCCTTGAATGGATTTCAGTGTAAAGTTTTTTTTTAATACCAGTTGTTGATCTCTTAAGTTGAAGCAGCTGGGCCTGTATACTTTAGCATGAATTAGAACATCTGGCCCTTATCTTTCCTGAGAAAGTTAGCACTATGAATGTTTAAAGAAGAGCTCTCTTGGTTACCACAGCTGGTCAGTCAATATGAGGAGCCCCGCTGGGAGGAAATGCTACATCCCATTATCTATGTATGGTTTCCAAGCAGGTTTATCAAGGTGTCCATAGATCCTTGCATAGAGGGACGAAAGGACTGCTGCCCATTTTTTTAAAAAAATAAACTATTAATTATATCAAACAAACACATACACAACACACAGAAAAAAAGAAAAAGGAAAAAAGAAAATGAACAAAGAAACTAACAATTCTATCGACAGTCTATGGTTCCATGTTTGTTATCAATATTAGTGATATATTTACAAATACATCTTATTGCGAATATATAATTACTACCTCTTTTACATTTTACGTTGTTTATTCATATATTTTCTATATTTGTTCTATCCAGTCATACCAGCCTTCCCCGCTTCTATAATATTCTGATGTTTCTTTTTCCTTAAGTGCTAAGGTTAACTTATCCATCTCTGCACAGGCTGTTATCTTCTGAATAACCATTTCCTCTGTTGGAATATCTGCTTGATTCCAACACTGTGCAAGGGTTATTCTGGCTGCAGTAAGAATGTGCAGTATGATATATTTGACTTTTTTAGGAATTTGTCTATTAAATATGCAAACTCTACCCATGATGTCCTCGTTTGTGATGCAAACGCAAAAGGGCAGGGCTTGTGTTGTTTTGTTGTGAGATAAGCTTTGACATCCTGAATAGCTATGGTGTTCCCTCAGAATTCAATACAGAGTCTCAAAGACTTTCTCCAATTGCTCAAAAATCTTATCTTGAAATCTAGCTCTGTTGAATCTGTTTTGGCCCATCTGTCTGGGATTTATATTCCCCAAAGGCTGGAAAGTGCCAAGTTGGGGGAAGATAGAGTTGTATCAACAGCAGCTGAGACCTTATTTATTGCTATAATGAAACACAGGACTTCCAATTAAAAAAGCTTTCTCATTTCTAAACAAGATTTCACTCCAGTGAACTTTTTGCTGTACAAGTGGTCCTTGACTTCTGATGACAATTGAGCCCAAAATTTCTGTTGCTAAGCAAACCAGATGTTAAGGGAGTTTTGCTCCATTTTATGACCTTTCTTGCCACAGGTGTTAAGCGAATCACTGAAATTGTTTTTAAGTCAGTAACATGATTGATCAGTGAATCTGGCTTTGTTGTAGTTAGCTGGCAGCAGGTGCGGACGGCTGAGGAGAGCGAGGACTCAGATGAGGGGCCAGGACCATTAGGGAGTGGACTGCTGCCTTCAGAGATTGTGGGGGCTGGCAGCAGCAATGAGGAGGTTTCCGAGGAGCCTGTGCCAGGTGCACGTGTGCCAGAGATGGTTTTCAGCAGGTCCTTACCAGTTCTGGAGAACCGGTAGCAGAAATTTTGAGTAGTTCGGAGAACTGGCAAATCCCACCTCTGACTGGAGATTTTACAATATCCTTCCCCTGCCATGGCCACCAAGTTACGCCCACAGAACCGGTAGTAAAAAAATTGGAATCCCACCACTGGCGTGCATGTAGGATTGCTCGCAGGAAAGAGCAGCTGCAGGAACATGGGTGACTCGGGAGTAAGGCTGCAAGGTAATGGACCCTCCTTCAAGAAGATAAAAGCCAGCTGTGAATCAGATGTTCTTTGAAGGAAACAAAAACATTTTGAAACTCCAGCCTCGTGGACATTACAGTATGTTAAGTTGGTATTTGAAGACTCTTGTGTTGTGAAATATTTCTTATCTGTTATTCTTGGCAACTTCGCACAGTTTTGGTGAGGCTTGTGCTTATCAAAGTTAATTAGTTTGCAGCAGCCTTTTAACTGGGGATTTAAAGGTTTCTGTTCCTTTTGGTTCGTGTTTGTTTTATTGGAAAAGGGTTTGGGTCAGAACAGGCTTCCCCATTGACTTTGTCCGTCAAAATGTCACAAAAGATGATCACATGACCCTGGGACACTGCCACCACGGTATCATTAGTACATGCCACTTGCCAAGAGTCCAAATTTAGATCACATGACCATGGGGATAGTGCAATGGTCATCACTGTGAAAAAAGGCCATAAGTCACTTTTTATTCAGTACCATTGTAGCTTTGAATGGTCCCTAAACAAATGGTTGTAAGTCAAAGACTATCTGTATGCTGTGTTTATTACTACGATACCCTAACCCAGTCTTTATCGATCACAGCAACTTTAACATGCATGAACTTTGATTCAGCCTAACCTGCGTTGGCCATATTGGCTAGATCACGAGTGCTGATGTCCGATATTTGGACTGCAACACATTTGGCATGTGTCAGAAGTAGACCAGCTCAGCACAAGGATTCCAGGAGAGCAAATTTATTGTTGTTGGATTTGAGCACAGAAACCTGAAAACCTGCCAGGATTTCTTTCCACCCTCTCTTTTGATCAAACAGATTCAACGTCGGTTTATTTTGAACTTCCTTCTCCTGCTTTCTGCTTTCCCATGACTGAGTTCTCTCTTACGGTTGCCTTTTGTTGTCCCCCAAAGATGCTTTTCCAAAAGGCAACTGAACTTTCTTGGTCTTTCCTTGAAAACGGTTCGCTTCTCAACCAAGAGACTTCTTCAGTTCTGGCTGAATGGTGGGGGAATGGAAGTACGTTTTCAAGGAAAAACCAAGAAAATACAGTTGCTTTTTGGTAAAGCACTTTTGGGACAACCATGACCTGGATGACTGAGAATCTCCAGAGCTGTTGCCTTCCATTCTTTTTCAAGGTGATCTCCACATCCCTTTGCACTGTATATGTTAGGTTGTATATTAGATTCATCCAAATCTTGGGTTATGAGTCACAATGTTGTCTTGTGTGTAATATTCATCTATTTATTTATTTTTATTTATTTATTTGATTTGTCGATTGCTTACAAGATAATAGGTATAGGTATAAACATGAGTAAGAATACAGGAAATAGGTACGAATAAATGGGGACAATAGGACAGGGACGGGAGGCACTATGCATGCCCCTTATAGACCTCTTAGGAATGGGGTGAGGTCAATAGTGGATAGTTTGAGGTTAAAGGAGTGGGGGTTTGAGGATGTAACAACAGGGTCAGGTAGTGCATTCCAGGCATTGACCACTCTGTTGCTGAAGTCGTACTTTCTGCAATCAAGTTTGGAGCAGTTAACATTGAGTTTGTATCTGTTGTGTGCTCTTGTATTGTTGTGGTTGAAGCTGAAGTAGTCATTGACTGATAGGACATTGTAGCAGATAATTTTGTGTGCTATGCTTAAGTCTAATCATAGGTGGCGTAGTTCAAGGTTGTCCAAGCCCAAAATCTCAAGCCTGGTGATATAGGGTATTCTGTTGCGATCAGAGGAGTGTAGTACTCTTCTCGTGAAATACTTCTGGACTTGCTCAGTTGTATTAACATCCGATATACAGTGCCGATTCCAGACTGAAGAACTGTATTTGAGTATTGGTCTAGCAAAAGTTTTGTATGCTTTAGTTAGCAATTCTATATTTCCCGAGGAGAAGCTTCGTAAGATTAGATTTACAATTTTTAATGCCTTTTTGGCAATGCTGTTCCAGTGAGCTCTGGCGCTTTTATACCCTACTTTCTTCCCCAAACACAAGAGGACATACATAGCAGTCCCTTTTTCCATTTTTGAAGAGAAAGTGAGGGAGAGAGAGAGAGAGGGAGAGGGAGGGGGCAAGAGAGGAAGATGGAAAGAAAGAGGGGAGAGGGAGAGGGCGAGAGAGGGAGAGGGGGAGAGAGAGGGGAGAGGGAGAGGGAAAGAGGGAGAGGGGGAGAGAGAGAGGGAGAGGGGGAGAGAGGGGGAGAGGGAGGGAAAGGGAAAGAGAGAGAAAGAGAACAAATGACTTGTCCTCAACCAAGTAGTGAAATTTTATGACTCTGAGTAACATTGAACCTGGATCTTCCCTGTTCTAGTTTAACTGGGTAACCATCACTGTGTTGCCAGCATGATATTTACACAAAACACATAAAGCCAATTATCTTGTCTTCAGGGTTTGTCTTTATTAATTATTTTTTAAATGCCCATTGTTGTTTTTCAGGTGAAGATTTTCTAAAGCAAGGCCATCAGGTTGCAGCTCTAGGTCTCTGTATGACCCACCTAACAACTTAGACTAGGAGTTCAGGTCCATCCTCAGCCATGGAAGCTCACCAGCTCACCCTTTTCTATGGGTGACTATCAGCAGCTCTATATTCAAACAGGATGGGCTACAATATATCTTGATTACAAAACTCTGGATGACCATTAGATGGTAGGAAAGCATTAGGACTATACATATCTTAATGCCCTTTACTTCCTCAAATTCATCCTCTGAAATTTGGAACATGTGTTTGTACTTACTGTTGCTGGAGATTTCCTTACATTCTATGCCAAAACAACAATATTACAGATGCTTTCTTAAAAAAAAAAAAACATTAAACAAGACTTCAAAGGACTGTATCTGGAAATTTCTTATTCCATTCTTCTTTTCTCTGGCCATTTTTAGTGCTGGTCATTTCATTTAGGAGACTGTATTGATTTCTCACCTAATGGCTGTGGTAAAGGCCAGATCACAAAAACAGCCACCGTGATGAGTGTGCAAATTACAAAATACTGATTTACTAGAAAGCAAATTTACAGAGTTGCTGCATGGTACTGTGATAAAGAATTTGGCATGTTCAACATCACTGTGCTTATCTTTCTTTCTTTCTCTTTCTTTCCTTCCTTCCTTCCTTCCTTCCTTCCTTCCTTCCTTCCTTCCTGGCTTTGGAAGGCCAGATACTAAAGTTGAATCTCAATTCTTTGGCCACCAAGTGAGAAGAAAGGACTCATTGGAAAATAATCTGATGTTGGGATAGATTGAGCAGAAAAGGAGAAGGGGATGAACAGCAGAGGATGGTGTCATTGATGCACTGAACATGAATTAGGACAAACCCAAAGAGAAGTGGAGGATGGGGTGTGTGTGTGGGGGGGGCATGGTATAGTCCATAGGGTCACAAAGTTTTGAAGAGACTTAATGATTGAAAAGTGTTACACTTGTGTTCATGGCCATTCCCACACAACTCTGCACACACTTAGATAAGGGAAACTTCAAATCTGTATCAATAAAATTTGTCAAAGAGCATTAATAAATTTATTTCAACAGTTTGGAAAATTAGTGGAAAGTGCTTGCAACTTCCTTGCCTAAAAGGAGAAACTGTGAGTATAAGCACTTCTCTTTTTTTTGTTCCTATGGATTCTTACTGTAAAAAATAAATAAAATAAAAGCTATTAGACTGGTATAGTGTCTTACAAACTGGGCAGTAAAAGAAAAACTATATTATTTTTCTTTAACTGCATTCCTTCCAACTAGTCACAGAGCTACAAAAAGTTTATTTTCAGAAAGTAAAATAATAGTTTTTTTTTAAAAAAAGCTATTTTTCTTCATCATAAAATATCTCTTCTCAAGGCAATCTCTGTTTTAAGAGGCCTAATATTTGAGTCTGCCTTGTTGAATTGCAAATGAGTAGGGTTTTTTTATTTTGCATTCCAGATATGCTGTCAAGTGGTTTATCTTTTAAAGTTTATTTTCTTGCATTAATCAAGCGAAATTTGGATTCTGTAAATTTGAATGTTGCTCAGTAAAGTTATGTGTTTTCATTTTACTAATAATTATGGAAAGAGGTTGAAAAGCCAATTTTCTAGACTTTCTTCTGAAACTTTCATTAAAACAAAACAGGAGTAGCCCTTGCCTTTAGGCTAAAAACATGGTATAATAGCTAAATTACTGTATTGATTGGCTTGCGTTGAAATCTGAAAATAATTCTTGGATAACTACAGTTTGAATTGATTAGAAATATTTTGTTTCATGTTTTCTTTTTCCTTTTTATCCTGTGGATCAAACATAAATCTGGTTGGTGTAAAATAGCAACTTGAGAATTACATTTTATCTATTCATACTGCAAAGTAATAATTATAGGATTACATTGTTAAATTATGGTATATTCCAGGATAAATGACAGAGGGCAGTTAAATCTATTCTCAGGCAAACATAATTGCTTCATATTTACTGCAGAGGTGGTATTCAGCAGGTTTTGAACAGTTCTGGAGAACCGGTAGTGGAAATTTTGAGTAGTTCGGAGAACCGGAAAATCCCACCTCTGACTGGAGATTTTACAGTATCCTTCCCCTGCCACGCCCACCAAGCCACGCCCACAGAATCGGTAGTAAACCATTTTGAATCCCACCACTGCTTTACTGATATTACATCAAGATTTCTTGAAATGGAAGATCAATGCAGATTTGTAAGTGGAGAAATATACATATCTGGATTAATAAGGAAGACATTTTACATCTTCTTAGATTCTTACCTTATTCCTGAGGCCACTTCTGGATGTACCTTCTATGTGAATTTAGGAAGAAGACTTCAAGGAAAGTACGTTCATGAATGGTGCCTTAGACAGGGAACGTGCTCTCCAACAAAGCTCGCTTAGTTTCCACATTCTCATCTTTTCTGTTCTAGATAAAGTTACTTGTTTTCTCGGTATTTTAAATTGTATTAGTTCAGTGATGGACTCATACATGCTTAAGAACTGGCACTGCTGACTCCATAGTTAAACAATAGGCGATTGGCACAATAGGCTTAGAGGTTCAGCTTCGCTCCCAACTAGCTTACACAATTTCACAAATAGTTCTGGTGACCTGGTAGGAGCCATTCCAGCACACCACTTTTTCAGTGCTATTGTAAATTTGAGCAGTCATTAAATGAATGGTAATCTTCAACTTACAACCATTTGTTTAGTGATCATTTGAAGTTCTCATTTATGACCAGTTTTCACAACTTACAACCATTGCAGCATCCCCATAGTCACGTGATCAAAATTCAGGCATTTGGCAACTGGCATGTATCTATGATGGTTCCACCATCCAGGAGTCATGTAATCACCATTTGTAACCTTCCCAGCTGGATTTTGACAAGCAAAGTCAGTGGGTGAAACTAGATTTACTTCATGACTGCATCCTTCACTTAAAAACTGCAATGATTCGCTCAACAACTGTGGTAAACAAAGGTGGTAAAATGAGGCAAAGGGCAATTAAAAACTGCCCTGCAACAGAAATTCTGGGTTCAGTCGTGGTCATCATTCAGAGACTAACTGTACAGCTAAGAACATCTTAAACCTGACCTGTAGGTGAGAATGAAGACAATCTTATGAGTGCACGGTAATGAAATGGGATGGCCAAGATATCTGTGGAGATTCTCAGTCATCCAGGTCATGGTTGTCCCAAAGCTGCTTTTTTCGAGAGGCAACTGGGCTTTCTGGTTTTTCTTTGAAGACATTTCGCTTCTCATCCAAGAAGCTTGTTCAGCTTTGACTGGATGGTGGGGAATGGAAGGATTTATACTCCTTGCAGACAGCTGGTCATTTGCATTCTTTTAGAAAGTTGTTGAGGCCACCTGGAGGCTTATCTGTGAGTGGTGCAAATGGGTGTGGAGACTTTTTGGAACTGTTGAAAGGACTGTGTTTTAGACTGGAGATAGATGATGTCATATTCCCCCCCCTCTGGTGAGAGGGGGCTGTTCAGTTTTGACCCAGATGGCCTCTTTGTCTCCTCTTTCAAACCGGCGGTCCTCTAATTATTAAATGCAGGAGGGAAAAGAGCTCTCTATCTGCAAGACAAATTCTATAATCCTATCTGAGGCCACTAATAAAGTGCAGAGACAAGTAAGGCATTAACATAGCTTCAAACATGTTCCGTCTGCTTGGAACACTTGTCGAGATAGATGGGAAGAAGGCTGTGTGTGCCACACATCAAAATTCACATCAAATGAAATTTGCCTTCCTGCCAAGACTGTGTGCAACGGCATGTCTGTTCAGCTAGTTACCAGAGAAGGGTATTTGGGATACATACTTCTGTGGGTTGTGGGAACCAACCCAAAAACGACCTCCTTTTATATAGCAAGTGCACATGTGAAGCCAATTTACTGAAGGTTCACGCTTTGATTTCAGTTGTTAGTTGTTGCTCATATGTCTAGAATCTTGAAAGAATAAAAACCCATTGGAATAGCAATGGGAAGTAATAAAAACAGGCTGTCAGTGGCACCACAGTATAGTACAAAGTATTAGAAGCAGTTCCCCAACCCCACAAAAATAGTCAGGAGAAAAAAAACATATTGAACTGGCTTTCCCAACACCCCCCTCACCTTCCCCCCCAAAATCATTCGTAGTTCCCTTGTTTTCCTAACCTCAAAAGAATAAATTGGCCAAGTAAACCTTGATTTCCTTAGATAGGGTGGCACTATCATGAATGGTCTCTGTGTCTTTGGATCTCTTGCTAAGACTCTGGTGATCATGGGTTCCAGAAAAAAAGAACAAGATATGGGGCAGGGATTCTTTAAAGATCCAATGGCAAGGAATAATGCTTTCATGCTTATTTTGGAGCTTCTCCGGCTGATTGGTGAGTTGGGAAGATAATAGGAATTTGGGATAATACATTCAGAGGTGGTATTCAGGCGGTTCTGACCGGTCCTTGTGGACCGGTAGGGAAAATTTTGACTGGTTCAGAGAACCGGTAGGGAAAATTTTGTGTCAGGGTTCTGGCAGCTACCCCCATTTAAATCATGAGTCTTGAACCAAACTTCTAAAACTTTAAAAAAAGGATTTATTGGGAATTAACATGTTGACACTGCCTGGATATAGCCAACTTTGAGGCACATAATTCATTGTCACCCTTGAGCCTGGTTTCCCCCCACCCCCTGGGTGTATCGTAATTCATATTCTCCAATGGGACACATCCATAGCCAAGAGTTATCAATCATGTTCTCCAGTCAGAATTTTGCACGGGAGAAACTTCGGTCACCTAGTTACTACCTTTGAAAACATTTATGGAATGCAAGCTGCCACATTGCTCCCCCCTCCCTTTCTCTTGGCAATTTTAAAAGACCATAGAAATATTTTATGAGTTGACCTTTTGACTGGCCCTTGCCCCCTGACCCCCCCCCCCGCTCTTACCTCTCACCTCTCCTATATTCTGCTGTTTATTAGCTCAGCTGATTCGTACGGCAGAGCGGATTGCCGCGCCTCAGCTGAGGTAAAAAACAACACAGCTCATCGGGGAAGGGCCGTGTCTGAGCCCTGTGCATGTGTTATTTGGCATGCGTGCGTGATAGGCACGCCTGCACAGCTCACCAGCCTTGATTCAGAGGACAGAGTATGAGCATGCAAAGCAAGCTCTGAAGCAGTAGGAAAAAATTTTGAAACACACCAGTGAATACATTTCTTTCACATCTGGAATATAGCAAGTTAGCGAAGGCTATAAAAGTTCTAAAATTCTGTCAGATCAGTCCTGAAGGTCCTGATTCTCAGTCATCCATGTCATGATTGCCTCAAAGGTGTTTTTTTCAAAAGGCAATTGGAGGATGTTTTTCCCCCTTGAGTAAGAGGACCTATTGCTTCTCATTGAAGCTTCTTGGATGAAAAGCAAAATGTCTTTTTCCTCAAGGAAAAGACCTTTGAGATCAATCCTGAATCATATCTAGCTTATCCACCTTCCTGTGACAGTCTTCCAATATGTGAGGGGTTGTCACAGAGAAAGGGGCGGGGAAGGTTTGTCAACCTATTCTCCAAAGCACCCGAGGGCAAGACAAGTAAAGGATGGAAGCTTATCAAAGAGAGACCCAATCTTTATTTATTTATTTGTTTGTCAAACATGTACAAGATAACAAATATAGGTATGAACATAAACAGGAACAAAGGAAGTAAATACAGATAAATGGGGACAGAAAGTCAAGGATGGTAGGCACACGGGTGTGCTTATGCACGTCCCCTTTAAGGACCTCTTAGGAATGGGGTGAGGTCCACGGTAGACAGTGTGAGGTTGAAGCTGTGAGGATTTGAGGCTGTAACACAGAGTCGAGTACGGCGTTCCCGGCATTGACCACTCTGTTGCTGAAGTCATATTTTCTGCAATCGAGTTTCAAACAGTTTACCTTGAGTTTGTTTTGATTGTTTGCCTGTGTATCATTGTGATTGAAGCTGAAAAAGTCGTTGACAGGTAACACGTTGTAGAAGACAATTTTATATACTATGCTTAAATCGGACCGTAGGCAGTGCAGTTCCAGATTATCCAAGCCCAAAATTTCAATCCTAGAAGCATAGGGAATTCTATTGTGAATAGAGGAGTGGATACTCTTCTTGAGAAATACCTCAATCTAGAATTAAGGAAAATTTTTCTTTCAGTGAGAACAATTAATGGAATAGTTACCTCTGGAAGTGGTGAGTGCTCCATCACTGGATGTTTTTAAGAAGAGATTGGACAGCCATTTGTCTGGAATGTTATAGTGTCTCTGGCTTAAGCAGAAGCTGGGACTAGAAGACGTCCAAGGTCTCTTCCAACTCTGTTATTCTAATATTCTCAAAGTGGTCAGTCAAAACACATCATAAAAGCTAGCATACAACACAGGTGGCTCATAATCTTTGTCAACCATTGTCCTTAGTAAAACATGACTTCACTTTCATACATACAACCCCATGTAGCTGAAAAGGAAGGAGATCCTGGAAAATATTCTCTATTTATCCCTATGATCCAATTTGCAGAAAGTACCATATGCGGAGATATGTATGGTCAGTTTTCAAGTGATCTCATGATTGTACCACTCAATCATGCTGTCAAAACCCAGCAGTGGTAATAGAAAAATGACGGATTAATTAAACTTGCAGCTAAACCAAATTTACAACTTACATCTCTTGATTCCCAGTTCAATGTGTGATGGCTTTGAAAATGATTGGAACATTTTTTATGGATAGGAAAACTGGTTTAAAAAGAAAATATCCTTTGCTTGACATCAGGCCAACATTGCCTTTGAATAACATTTTCCACTATGTTTAACTCAGACATGGAGAAAGCTTGTTGAACAGTATTAGCAAATAGCTATACTTGGCCTGTAGAACTAAAAGTGCTTGATGAAATCATAGAAGCTCACAGAATGTATAACTTTAAAAGACTAGATGTAATTTTGTGTAAGCATAGCTCATAATATCAAGGGACTTCTGGGCCTATGCATTTTCCATAAAATCTTGGTATTTAGGAAAATAAACCTCCTTATGAATTGGTATCTTCAAAGGAACACTAAGGGACATTTATAACACGATATATTTCACATATTAAGAGCCAATCCTTTGTGAGTTAACTGAATGTACAATCATGCTATTACCCAGAAACATGAAATCTGTAATTCTCCAGATGTTGCTAAATTAAGACCACCACCCCTCAGGAGCTTAAGACATGCCTTACAGTGAGTTATACTGGGAATGGTCCTTCTGCAGCATCCAAAATAATGCATTTCTCCATCTCTACTGTACGATAAAGTCATCTCCTAATCTTTGAGTTGTCACTGAATACCTAAATACCGAATAACATCACATATTCACTTAAAGGTGGTTAATGTGTCTTTTCTCAAGGCTTGATATCTTTGGCTGATCTCAAAAGACTGCATAGGGCTGGACTCATTTAATTCTTGGGTGAGAAATCCATCAAAACAAATTTTGTGGGATAGACCGAGAAGTCAAAACATCCTGGAACAAAGCAGTGGCGAATGATTTATTTTCATTTGTTCCCTATGTGAATGTGTTCTGGAGATTACCAGGAGCTGAGCTGAACTGGAAGAAGATTTTGCATTTCGTTTTTCTTTTTTCGTAGTACTATCTCCAACAATGTTTTTGACTACAGAGAGCAGAAGGGGGCAGATAACAGATAATCAGAGTTGGAAGGGACCTTGTAGGTCATCTAGTCCAGGGGTCGCCAACCTTTTGGATCTCAGGGACCACCAAACTCATCATTGTAAATCCCAGGGACCACTAACTGATTTTGTGAACATGGCCTAATTTGTGGGTGTGGCTTGGAGGTCATGTGGGCTGGGCATGGCTTGTATGTAAATATTATAAATATTTATATAAATATTGATTTTTTTATTAAAAAGGAGCAAATTTTACCCAAAAGCAGGCAAAGCAGGCAGGCAGATTGAGTTGCTCACAGAATCACAGATTCATTCAGAGATCTATCTTTTTGCCATCAGCTACCTGAGTCTGCACTGAATAATAGAAGCTTCAGTCCTAAGGAAGGTTCGGCTGTGCTTAAAAGCAGAACTGAAGATCTAAAGATTAGCTAGAAAGCAAGAAATCCAAACATTTCCAGCTTCCTAGCTAATGTAAATCTCCCCACACAGCAGAACAGCTGATGGTCAGGAAAAAAAAGGAAAAATAGCAATTTAGCAAGCAAGTTTGCCGGGTAAGGAGTCAGTGGACGGGGATGGTTCCTGCAGGCTTGTGTTTCTGTGCAGCCTGGATTAATTGCTTTGGGGGTGCTCTGGGGTGTGACATTTCTCTGTGGACCACCAACATTTTCTCGTGGACCACAAGTGGGCCATGGCCCACCAGTTGGCGACCGCTGATCTAGTCCAACCCCCCACCCACCCAAGCGAGAGACCCTACACCATTTCTGACAGATGGAAGTCCAATCTCTTCTTGAAAGTCTCAAGTAATGGCGCTCCCACAACTTCCAAGGGCAAGCTGTTCCATTGGTTGATTGTTCTCACTGCCAGAAAGTTTCTCCTTATTTCCAGGTTAAATCTCTCCTTGTTTAGTTTCCATCCATTATTCCTTGTCTGGCCTACAGGCGCCTTAGAAAATAGCTTGACCCCTTCCTCTCTGTGGCAGCCCTTCAAATATTGGAAGACTGCTATCATCTCTCCCCTGGTCCTTCTCTTCACTAGACTAGCCATGCCCAGTTCCTGTAACCTGCAACCTAGTTCGGGCCATCAGATAAACTCTTTTTTTGCTTTTTGTAATAGCACATCAAAAACAAACAAAGAGAGGCAGGACCACAAGGCATGTAGTACTGAACAATATGAAAAGTGAATGTGATACTAAGACCTAAAGCCACATTCTTTTGCTACTGTACTTTGGTGGCAAAAATATGTCAACACATTTCAGTGACTGCTGATTAACACACACATATACCAAGGCCTTTGGAGGGAAACACATGCAGTGCCTAGACCAGGGGTGTCAAACTTGACTTCATTGAGGGCCGCATCAAGGTTGTGTTTGACCTTGGGGGGCCAGAGTGGGCATGGCTGGGATAGGTTTGGCCAGAGTGGGCATGACCAGATTGATGTCACTCATGTCAAGGAGGGCTGTGGTGACCAAGTGCTAAGGCAGGACTTCCCTGAGACCCTCCCTCTCATAATAATCTCCTTCCTTCCTTCCTTCCTTCCTTCCTTCCTTCCTTCCTTCCTTCCTTCCTTCCTTCCTTCCTTCCTTCCTTCCCTCCCTTCTTTTCCCCTTCCCTCTTCATTCTACTTTCTACTTCCTTTTCCTCTTATTTTTCCTTCCTTGCTCTCTTCCCATTTTTCCTTCTTTTTCTTTGTCCTTCCTCTTTCCCTTTCTCCTTTTCTGTCCCCTTTTGCATACTCAAATGCAAAAGGGGAAAGATTGATCTATTTGTTTTCTTTTTACTTTGTTTTGCTGGCCCTCTGCCAGTGAAAACAGAACCTGGGCCCCCTAAGTTTGTTTTCGCTGGCAGAGAGGGCCGCAGGAGGCCGCTGCTGCTGAAACTGGAGCCTGGGAAGGCTGCGTCCTCCGGAGCTTCATTTTCACTGGCAGAGGCACCGCGGACCAGTCCTTTCCTGTTTCCAGGGCAGCCCTATGGGCCAGATCTAAGCACACAGATCCAGCCTGCGGGCCTTGAGTTTGACACCCCTGTCCTAGACCAGTAGCGGGATACTATCTTAGTCACTACCAGTTCAATGGATAACCGTGCATGTGTGTGTACACCCCTAAGACGCACGCCCCTAACAAGCCAATCAACTGAGAGGATAAAGAAATGAAAAGCTAGGAACGACTCTCCCACCCTCCCATGCGCTTTTCAGTCTTTTACCCTGTCAGCTGATTGTCGGAGGCTTTTTCCCCCCTCCTCTCTGATCAGCTGATCAGAGGCCTTTTTTGATTACCAGTGTGGAGGAACTGGTAGTGATTTTAGCTACTAGTTTGGGTGAACCAGGCCAAACTGGTAGCATATCTCCACTGACCTAGACCTTGGGTGGCCTTAGAAGCAGCAAAAATATCAGACGAGGATCTTGCATTCTGTGATTAGGGCTGTGAACATGCAGGCCAATACAAAGGTCCATCTATTCTGTCACAAAGGAGATAGAAGAGCAAAAAGGGGAAACCCCAGCCCAGCTGATCCCATCCATAGATTCTGTCTCTTAGCCAGGATCATCCACTTGGGAGGTTTGAGGCCGTCTGATCCTCTAGAGTGGAGTCTAAGATAGAACTTCCCCAAGATCTCCCTGAAGCAGGAGATGGTATCTGACAGGACTTGGAACCTGAGTGAGAGAGAGAGATGTCAGCCCTTTTGCTGTTTGGCTTATGTTGTCATTGGCCAAGGCAATTCATTCTCTCTGGAATTTGTGGTGGAGACAGCAGGGATATAATCTGACATTACACCAAGTAGAAGTTGCTGAATTCTCCTCAGTGTCTTTTTGAATTAGCTTCTGATTTATGACCTTTCTGGCAAACACTTGTGAGAGAGAAAAAAATATATGTCTCCACAAGTTCTCTCCTGGCTTGCAGGGTTGGCAACATATATGCGTGATGACAATGTTGTGTTTTATTTGATTACATTTATTGCATTTCCACCTGGGAACCATAGTTCTTCCCACCTGTCATGGCTGAAAGCCAGCTGGAAACGCAACACACATATCTCTCTACCAGACACACAGAAATAATAATCACATCAGAAACAGGGAGGGGATGGGCGTCCTTTAAATCTAAATCTCAAGAGCTTGTTCTATGTAAAAAGAAATCCTCAATCTGTAGGTCGTGTGCCACCTGTGAATAAAGATACCCCTCCCAGAGTAAGATCCAATTGTAATTCTGAGTGTGAAACAAATGGACACCATCAAAAATGTGATGATAACTCAGTGTAAAATAAAATCAGTGAGTTCTGTCTAGATCACGGGTGTCAAACTCAAGGCCTGGGTCCAGATCCGGCCCACAGGATGCTTAGATCAGGCCCATGGGACTGGCCTGTGGTGCCTCTGCCAGTAAAAATGGAGCTCGTGAGAGCCATGTGTAGGGCCCCTGAGCTCCATTTTTGCTGGCAGAGGATTGCAGGATGCCCTCGCTGCCAAAAACAGAGTTTGGGAGCCCATTTTCACTGGCAGAACATTTGGGCCATCACAGGTGCCCCCCAACATGAGAGACATCATGCTGGCTATGCCCACCCTGGCCACACACACACACACTGCCCCCTCCTGAAGTAAAACACAACCCTGATGCGGCCCTCAATGAAACCGAGTTTGACAGCCCTGGTCTAGATCTATCACTTTCTAGAGTGTGTCCCAGAAAAAGGCCGATATAAAAAAGGTGGATCCCACAAAGATGGTCATGGTTTTGAATGTTTTGATTCCCTGCCGCAGATCAGAGGGTTCAGCAGGTTCTGACTAGTTCTGGAGAACCGGTAGTGGAAATTTTGAGTAGTTATGACTATTATTAAGTGTCGTAGCTTATGATTGTCAACTCTTGACGAATGTACCTTTTCTTTTACGTATACTGAGAGTATTTACACCAAGACAAATTCCTTGGGTGTCCAATCACACTTGGCCAATAAAGAATTCTATTCTATCTACTCTATTCTATTCGGAGAACCGGCAAATGCCACCTTGGACTGGGGATTTTACAATATCCTTCCCCTGCCATGGCCACCAAGCTATGCCCACAGAACCAGTAGCAAAAAAAAATAAAAATTGAATCCCACCAGTGCTGCAGATGTTCCCCATTCCCCAGCATATCATTCAAGAGTCAAGTGCACATTTCCATCCAGAACAATTTGCACATTCCTGATGTAAAAAGTACAAGAAACCACACAGAGCATTGGTTCAATTAAAAGGAAGTACTTGTAATGGAACAGGCGAAAGACCCTGGGAGACTCAGCCAAGAGACACTGCCAAGGGAATGGCCAGATAAGAGACAGCATAGCCTGCAGCTGGATAATGGGTGGGGTGAGAGGCCCAGAAGAAACCCTCCCTAGTTACATGGGCGGTAAAGAAAATGCAGGGGGAGGGGAGAATTGTACTTTTAGACAAGCAAGCGACTGTCAATGTAGCATTACAATAAAATAGAATTAGCTCATATGGTTGTGATTTCTATCTGGTTTACCCTGCGAGGGCAGTAGTACTCAATGAAATAAGGGTGTCTGAATTTTTATGACCGCACTCTATAGAATAGGCATGGCCTTTAAAAAAATGACATTTGGTTACATTTAATTTAAGTGTAACGTTGAATGACTTACATGTTGTTAATTTGATCACTCCCTGAATGCACCTCTTTGAGCCTCATACGGGCGAGGACTATATGGGAGGACTCTTAATCCAGCTGTGATCTTTGAATATCCTGTGAGCTGGATAAATCATCCAAACGGAGTAAATCCAGAGGTTTAGGGATCTGAAATAAGAATATTTCAACCCAAGCCTTCAAGTCAGGCTTACTCTTCCAACTTTGCTTGAGTGGCAGAGTTCTGGCACGGATGGGTGAAGATATAAAGTTCAGCTTAGTGGTAGACTGTGTTGAATCAACATCTGCCTCTTGCCCAGAGCCAAATTTTAATTCTTGGGAACCTGTTTTCTGGATCGGTTGCCCAAAGAAGGCTGTTTCTCGCTATTGAGCTATTCCAGTAGAAGGCAGTGCTGCCATCTGGCTGCACCCTGCAGAGAAGCCACAAGTTTTATTAGGGGAAAAACCATGGTTCTTTACCCAACTTTTATGCAATTGTGCCAGGCCACCCACAACACATCAGTTCATGCTTGCGAAACAGAGGGATGCTATTCCTTACTTCGCCTTTTCAGTTGAAAAGGCAAGTTTGCTGCAGACTTAAGACATGGATCTGACACTCCTTCCTTGCTTGAACAATTTTGGTGAGTTCTTGTTGACTTTGTCTCTTGGAAGAAAATGGGACCAAGTTAATTTACATGTGGTTCTGCAATGGTAACTTGGTAACGATGTATGGAATTTCACAACCACAAATCAAGGCAAACTTGAGCTGTCTATCTATCTATCTATCTATCTATCTATCTATCTATCTATCTATCTATCTATCTATCTATCATCTATAATCTATCTATCTATCTATCTATCTATCTATCTATCTATCTATCTATCATCTATCTCTATCTATCATCTATCTATCTCTATCTACTATCTATCTATATCTATCTATCTATCTATCTATCTATCATCTATCTATCTATCTATCTATCTATCTATCATCTACCTACCTATCTACTACCTACCTACCTAGCCATCTAGCTAGCTATACCCCCCCACATACACACACACCTCCTTTTTTACAATATATCCAGGATTCTGGCACATGGGTATAACTCAATCAACTCTGATGTCCTATCAATATATGTAGAATTGAATCTCACAGTAGACTTCATCAATTTTTGTTTAGATCTTGCCCACTTGCCACTCCTGGGTGTTTGCGCTTACTCATAGAAGAGAATCTTTGTAGGTCAGAGCTGAAGTGAGGGATCCTTGTTGCTCTCTGAGTTTGGTTGTTTTCTTGCAGATGTTTCATTACCCAGCTAGGTAACATCATCAGTGCTGCTGCCTGTTTGTGCTTACTTGATTCTTGAAGGATCAGGGGTGGGAAGCTATGAAAATGGGTCCTGTCCTTCTTATGCTTCAGGTCTTGAATGTTCATATAGAGGTTTATTCATTCTGGTAAGTCAAACACAGGGGTCTTCAAACTTGACAGCTTTAAGTCTTGTGGACTTCAACTCCCAGAATTCCTCCTCCAGTCATGTTAGCTGAGGAATTCTGGGAGTTGAAGTTCAAAAGTCTTAAACTTGCCAAGTTTGAAGACCCTTAATCAAACAAATGCATCTGCATTGTACAGGTAGTCTTCTACTTACAACCGTTCATTCAGTGACCTTTCAAATTTATAACGGCACTGAAAAAAGTGACCTATGACCATTTTTCACAATTATGACTGTTGCAGCATTCTCCTGATCAAAATTCAAATGCTTGGCAGCTGGCTGATATTTATAACAGGTTGCAGTGTTCCAGAGTATTGTAATCCCTCTTTGCAACCGTTCTTCATATGTTTTAGTCTCCAGTCCCCTAATCATCCTACAGGTGAAACTTGAAAAATTAGAATATCATGCAAAAGTTCATTTATTTCAGTAATGCAACTTAAAAGGTGAAACTAATATTTGAGATAGACTCATTACATGCAAAGCAAGATAGTTCAAGCCATGATTTGTCATAATTGTGATGATTATGGCTTACAGCTCATGAAAATTCCAAATCCACAATCTCAGAAAATTAGAATATTACATGCAATCAATAAAACAAGGATTGTACATAGAAAAATATTGGACCTCTGAAAAGTATAAGCATGCATATGTACTCAGTACTTGGTTTGGGCCCCTTTTGCAGCAATTACTGCCTCAATGCAGGGTGGCATGGAAGCTATCAGCCTGTGGCACTGCTGAGGTGTTTTGGAAGACCAGGTTGCTTCAATGGCAGCCTTCAGCTCTTCTGCATTGGTCGGTCTCATGTCTCTCATCTTTCTCTTGGCAATGCCCCATAGATTCTCTATGGGTTCAGGTCAGGCGAGTTTGCTGGCCAATCAAGCACAGTAACTGCACAGTCATTGAACCAGGTTTTGGTGCTTTTGGCAGTGTGGGCAGGTACCAAGTCCTGCTGGAAAATGAAGTCAGCATCCCCATAAAGCTCATCTGAGGAAGGAAGCATGAAGTGCTCCAAAATCTCCTGGTAGATGGCTGCACTGACCCTGGACTTAATGAAGCATAGTAGACCAACACCAGCAGATGACATGGCTCCCCAAATCAGCACAGACTTCACACTGGACTTCAAGCATCTTGCAGTGTGTGCCTCTCCATTCTTCTTCCAGACTCTGGGTCCTTGGTTTCCAAATGAAATGCAAAAGTTGCTCTCATCAGAAAAGAGGACTTTGGACCACTGAGCAACAGACCAGTTCTGTTTTTCTTCTGTTTTCCAGGTAAAACGCTTCTGACGTTGTTTATTTTTCAGGAGCGGCTTGACAAGAGGGATATGACATTTGAAGCCATCCGTGTGTGGTGGCTCTTGATGCACTGACTCCAGCCTTAGTCCACTCCTTGTGAAAGTCCCCAATACTTTTGAATGTCATTTTCCTGACAATCCACTCCAGGCTGTGGTCATCCCTGCTGCTTGTGCACGTTTTTCTTCCACACTTTTCCATTCCACATAACTTTCTATTAATGTGCTTTGATACAGCACTTTGGGAACATCCAACTTCTTGTGCAATTACCTTTTGAGGCTTTCCTTCCTTGCGGAGGGTGTGTCAATGATGGTTTTCTGCACAACTGTCAGGTCAGCAGTCTTTCCCATGATTGTGCTTCCTACAGAACCAGACTGAGAGACAATTTAAAGGCTCAGGAACCCTTTGCAGGTGTTATGGCTTAATTAGCTGATTAGAGTGGGACACTTTGAGCCTAGAATATTGAACCTTTTCACAATATTCTAATTTTCTGAGATTGTGGATTTGGGGTTTTCATGAGCTGTAAGCCATAATCATCTCAATTATGACACATCACAGCTTGAATTATCTTGCTTTGCATGTTATGAGTCTATCTCATATATTAGGTTCACCTTTTAAGTTGCATTACCGAAATAAATGAACTTTTGCATGATATTCTAATTTTTAGAGTTTCACCTGTAGTTGCTCTTCTTTGCACTCTTTCTAGAGTCTCAACATCTTTTTTTTTAAATAACTTTTTAAAAAATAAATGTTATTAAATTTTACACTTTTAAAAACAAATCATATTTACAATTTTTGAAGTAATCTGTGGCATCGACTTTTCCATATTCATTTACATACACACACACACACACACACACACATGTTATGTACATTTACATTTTACATTGTCTTTCATTCCTGTTATCTAAGCAAATGTACCATTTTTCCTAGACCATATAGTATTCTTTTTCTTCCTTCTCCTGCAATTCCATTGATAGTTTATAGAGTCTCGGCATCTTTTTTATAGTGTGCTGACCAAAACTGGGTGCAGTATTCTAGGTGTGGTCTTATTAAGGCTTAGCAATGGTGGCAAGAAAGGTGAAGTGTAGCAAAACTCACTTAACAGAAATGTTGGGCTCAGTTGTAGTTGTGTATTGAAGACCACACGTGTCAGAAAAAGATGTTGTGGCTTGTTCTTACACACCGGATTGGAGGGGCACTTTGTTCTTATTGCATTATCTCATTGGCCTTGGTCATTTTTTATATAATGGGGGGCAGGTCCAGGTTTGCACCTTCCTATCTTCCTTGTCATTGTTTAGATCAAGGGTCCCCAAACTTGGCAAGACTTGTGGACTTCAATTCCCAGAATATCTTTGATTTGTCTCTTAGGTAGAAAGCCATTTTGATCTGAATGGATAAATTTGGTTCAGAAATGTTTTTAATCCTTCTGCAATGATTGAAGCGAATATTTGATAGTCAGCATTCAATAGTATAGAGCAGGGGTCCCCAAACTTGGCAACTTTAAGACTTGTGGACTTCGACTCCCAGAATTATTGGGAGTTCAAGTCCAGAAGTCTTAAAGTTGCCAAGTTTGGAGACCTCTGGTTTAGGTGCTCAAACATAGCCACTGCCTGAAAGCAAAAACCATCTTTTCCAGGCAATCATGTGGTAACCATCACATCCCAGAACTGCAGCAGGTGATCCAGGCAGGCCCCGCTGTGGTCCTCTTTGAAATCAGATCCAAAATGCTGCACAATCCGTTGTTCCACCCACTTTCCACTCAAGTCTTTTAAGCTCTTTGATCGGGAGACCTCGCATCTGGGACCTTCACTGAGTTCAGCCTTCCATTTTGAATAAGGACGGGATCATGTAATGCAACTAGGGCCAATGTTTATGTCTCTCTGTGAAAACATGGCATTTAGAACTCAGAAAGCATCCCCCTAATGTGAAAATAGGCTGATAATAAATTTCACATGCTTGGCCTCCAAACTATGGAACCTTGGCTTTTCACTCCTAATTAAGCTCTAATCTCCGGAGTTCAGTAACAGAAGTGGGACACTCTTAACTTGGCAGGAAACCTATATCTGCAAGGCTCCAATTGTTAACATGTGCTCCATTTTGCAGATGTATTCGAATTAAAGGGAAAAGAGAAGGAAACCAGAGGCACTGGAAGCCCCTGTGCTCCAAGCTGGGACTCTGAGTGGCTCAGGACCAGACCCGCAGGTTCCGCCCTGTTCAGTTTAACACTCGATGTGATGTGTTCATGTAAAAGTCACACCAGAACCCAGCCACGAAGTAAGGAACTTACCGTCTGTTTAATGGAAGGTATCAGATTTCAAATGCTGGAAAAGCAAATCTGTGTTCTTCTGGAAAATGACTGATCCATGACTCATCAACAACCAATCTTAAAATCACCCTCCATCCTTACACAAATCAGCAGAGTGTATATGTTGTGGCCTGTCGGTCACCGG